GGGGCGCAGCAGGGGTGGTTACTGTTTCCAGAAACACCCCCCTTCTCTCCTCTTCCCTGCCGCCTCCCCCTCCCTGCTGGCTGTTGTTGGGCAGGTGGGTGCAGAAGCTCCATAATGCTCCAGTCCCTTGCGGCCAATTGGCGCATGTTGTCTCGGCGGCGCATGCACATTTGGCCCAAAGCATTACGGACAGACAGACAGAAAGACTAAGGCTCTTATTATATTAGAATATTTCTCTGGCTCAATTCCATTATGTACCAAAAAGCAGCTACCTAATGCTTTTTCAGATGTTTTGCCGATAGTGAGCATACAGATGGAACACGTATTCACAGTTGTGCAGACGCATGCAGAACATTTGTTCTTTAAATGCCGTTTTCCTCTGACGTTTAAAATCTCTCCTTTGGAAATAAGGGAGGCAGGCCTTAAGGGCTGGCTGATTTTGTAGCAGGATCCAAGTTATGGGTATTTCAAAGCAGTGGTAAAGAGATGGAGCTAAAAAAATTGTTTGAGCTAAACTGAGATTTTAGTAAAGGAGGATATGGACATAGAGTGATCATATTTGCCTTCTGTAGCCTTTGAAAGAAAAACTTGTTGTAGTTGCTTAGGCAAAGGCTGAAGCCAAAGCAGCAGCAGCTGGGCTCTTCTCCCAAATGTGCAAGAATGAAAACTCACTCAAATTTGGCGCACATATATTTGATAAAGAAATGTAGCTGATTTGCAGAACAGTCACAAATGATGAACGAGATCTTACCATGTTAAAAGGGCATGTGGTATATGTGTTCAGAAATCCTTTCCAGGCAAAACAATCTTACTTAGGCACATTTGAAACCCAAAGTCATTCACTGAATGGGGAAGAGAGATCCTGGCTGCAAAAGAAGAAATGGCTACAAAAGCATGATAAAAATGCTGACTAGCCTACAGTGTAGCACTTTAAGAATCCAAGTGTATATTGGCTCATAACAGTGCCAATCAATTTGACCTGCACATTTACTAGAAGGCATGAGTGATTGGTGCCTCCTAAATCTGGGGGGGGGCACCTGCAAAAGCCACTAATGGTGGCGGCCCTGTCAGGGAGGGGACCAGCCCCACCTACCGGATCAGGGTCAGGCGGGCGG